GGCCTGGATACCACAAGCTTCCCTCCTTTGGAATTCCATGAGCCAAAGGCTGAGAATGGATCATGTTGTGAATTTCCTTGAGTCCCCGCAAGTTCTAGAACTCCGAGGGCCACAGCCCTGGGCTGTGAACCCTGCAGACTATGATTTGAACAATGCCTCTGGAATTGTGCGACTTGCTAGCTCTGAGAAAGCCCCCCCAGGCTCCTGCTCCAGAGTGGGTTAGGGGCTGTATGATTCCAAGGCCTGGCTCACGTTCCTGATGTGCCTTGAAGGGTCCCCTGCACCCCAAAGTGCAGCGACTGCACTCAGGCCCGTGAGCACAGGCCTTTCTCCTTTCTTTACTCCTCCAGTAGCAATGGGCAGCAGACGAGGCCTGGAATTCTGCCTAAATGCCCAGCATCTTAGGGATCTGCTTGACTTGCTGGGACCTGTCTCACTCCACACCAGGCCTCAACTTCCACCACAGTGAAATGGGGATGCGGAGGTGTTGTGGGTCACCCTCTACCTGGTGTGATAAATCAGGCACAGGGAGCTGAGCATGTCAAGTGCTGAGGCCCCCGGGAGGCAGGTGCTGAGAGCAGCTGGTTCTTGCTATGTTGAGGGGATGTTTTCTTGCCTCTTGGTGCTCACAAAATGCAGCACTGATTGACTTCAGGGAAGCAGGACGCGTCCTTGGTGGAAGGAAGACTTCTTCCTTCCCGTCTGTCATTGAGCTGCTGTTACTCATGTAGCTTTCACCTGTACGATGTGCTTTTACATCCACCGTTGTATTTGCTCCCCTAAAAGCCCTGCAGGGGCAGTAGTTACTGTTGTCCTAGTTTTACATGAGAACACCGAGGCTCTGAGGGCTGAGGGGCTTGAATGAACCTCCACAGGGATGTGATCCATTTGTGGAGGGCTGATGACCCTGGCATAGATGTGGGGTGGGGGCAGGGCCTCAGGTCGGCCTCACTATGGGTTCTGTGACAGAGGCAGGTTGTGCCCATGCCCCCGCCTCACACGTGGACAGGCTGTGATGGGACATCCTGGTGACAGCCTTGGGTTGGTGCCACTCCAGGGACCCTGTCTTGTCCCTCCTGTCCCCTGTTCCTCTTCTCAGCCTCTGGGGCCCAGTGGTTCATCTGCTGTGGTGGCAGTGCTCCCAGGGAAAACGGGAAGAGAGGGAGGCAGAGAGAGAGGAAGGGCTGTGACCTGCAGACTGGGGATTCAGGAAGCAGGGTCAGGACAAGCCTCGGACTTGGGCAGAGAAGAACAACCCAGGCAACGGTTCCTCTGCCCACATCCTCATTATGGCTTCCTTTTCCAGCTTCAATCAAACAGGAGCTTCATCTGTTGTTAATTTGGATGTTCTCTTAGCTGGTGGGCTCCCTGAGACCCGGACTGCATGTGATGCTTCTTTGCACACTCGTGCATTGAGCACCAACAGTGTACCGTGCCCCGGGGTAGGCAGTGGGGACTCCCAGTTCAGGGCTTGGTGGCTGGACACATTAATGCTCACTGGCCAAAAACTTTTTGAAGTAGAGTGATGGGCACGATCTTTGAAACCAGCCTGCCTGGGATTTAGGCTCTCCTACTAACTAGCTGTGTGACCTTGGGCAAGTCACTTACCTCCTCTGAGTCTTGGTTTTCTCATTTGTAAAAAAGAGGATGATCACCCACATCATAAAGAGTTGTCATAAGGAGTGAGGCAAGTGTCAAATGCATCAGTGGTTCACAAACGCACTCTGCCTCAGTTTCCTGATCTGTAGAGTAATGAGGAAGTTTAGTTGGATGTTGTTTTATGAGAATTAATAAGTTAATACATGGAAAGAGCTTAGAACAGTAGGTGTCATGTAGTAAACACTATTAAGTGCTAAGATACAATTATTAGTATTTTGCTGCCCCAAAGTTATCGTCTATCATCTATCTACTAAACTCTAGACTTTATTTGTATTTTCCTAGATCTTCCACTGATATCCTCTTTCTGCTCCAGGATCCCATCCAGGGTACCACATGACGGTTGTCGTCTCCTTAGTTTTCTCTGGCCTGTGACAGTTTCTGTCTCTTGTTGGTTTTCATGACCTGGACAGTTTTGAAGAGTACTGGTCAGATATTTTGTAGAATGTCCTCAGTTGGGGTTTGTCTGATGTTTCTCACAGTTAGACTGGGCTTATGGGTTTGGGGGAAGAATCCCACAGAGGTAAAGAGTAAAGAGCACTTCTCATCACATCTCCAATTTTATTTTTCATGGGAAGGAATTCTTTGGGTCCCTTTGTTTTGGTTCTCCTTTGGGGTGGAGGGAGAAGTCTGGGAGGCTGAAGCTACGTTCAGCCAAGTCACGACCTTGGGCCAGGAAGGTGGCCAGGCTGGTCAGAGACGGGCAGAGCAGGACTTATAATTCAGCATGAACTAAACCCCAGAAAAGGCAAGAAGGGAGGTTATAATGGGGAGCCCTTGGCCCAGGCTGAGGAGGCCCATGGGGCAGGAGGTGGATATAGGAGAAACAGGAGGAGGGCTAAAGGTAGGCTTCCTCTCTCAGCTGGACTGGCCTGAGGACCCCATCCGCAGGAACCCCAAAAGAGACTGTAACCTACTGCCATAGCACTGCCATCCCAAGCCTGAGGTGCAGAAGGACTTGGGACATCCAAGCTTATGTCGCCCATTGCATGCGCCAACGCAGCCGAGTCTGGGGACCCAGGAGAACCATCTGGAGCCTGCCTCAGCGCCAGGTCAGAGGAACAGCTCGCAGCCCTGGGAGGACACCTCTGGGAAACAGAGGTGGGATCAGAACAGAGCCGCCAGGCTCCGCTGTGCCGGCCTGACTGTGTCTGGGTGAGCTCTCCTCCTGAAATGCCAGTGCCGCGGGTGCTGACAAGCTGTGCCTCTTTGCCCAGGCTCTCGGGGGCTTGTGTTCAGTTCCTACCCTGTCCGGGGGCACACAGGTGCACCTGGGGGCGGGAACTATGCCGTAGGTCCTCCGCTCTGTCTACATACTTGGGTCCACTGCCCCTCCACTCTTTGGGCTCTGAGCCCCTCTAGTTCCTGCCCTGTCTCCTCCTTTCTCCTTCCCTTCTCCTCAGTCCGGGAAGCCCTGGAGGCTATTGACTGGGTTTGTCTTTGCATTATTTGCGGGATCTCAATGTAGGATATTAACTTTCCTTCTGTCATATTGCAAATACATTTTCCCACTCTATCATTTGTCTTTTGACTTATTAGGGTATCTTTTTCCATAGAAGATGTTTTCATTTTATGTAGTCAGATATGTTTATCTCTTTCTTAATGGCTTTTCAGTTTTCTGTTTTGTTTTAAAAGTCTTCCCAACACCTAGGCTATATTCCTAAGTTTCCTTCTGAATTGTCCCTTGTTTTATTTTTTCTCATTTAAACATGCAATCTCTCTGGAATTTATTTTTCTCAAATTAAGGTAGGCTCCAATGTTATTTTCCTCCATGAGGATAGGCAAACTCAGCAGTTCCAGTCTATGCTCTCAGAGCTGAGGACCTCCAAGTGATGTATGGAAGGTAGCTACCAACATTGGGGCTAGGAGGTCAGGGAGGTGGCACAGACCAGCCCCACCCCCCGCCCCTTCCTGACCATGGAGCTATCCTACTTTGGATGTTTTACAAAATGAGTTTCCAGTAAAGACTGGTATTGGACCAAGTGTTCTGAAGCTAAAGGAAGTTCAAAAATCCCTTTCAGGTGATCTTTGGGGGCCGTTCCATGTCTGACATTCTCTGACTCCATAGTGGTGACTGCTTGCTGCGGGAGAGAAGGCAGTGGATCAGCATAACTTTAGCCAAAAGTAGTTTCAATATGAAATCCAAAGGTGGCTCAAAGTAGATATTAGAATCACAGCATTTTAGAGTGGAAGGGACCTTGGAATCATCGAGTGTAATGGCTCTCGATTCTGGCTGCCTTGAGAATCATCTAGGAGCTTATAAACAGTCCTGGTACCCCGACCTAGGCCAGATCAGGGGAGTCAGTCCCTGGGGAGTAAGGCCCAGGCATCGGTAGTTTTAAAAATCTCCTGGTGATTCTAACAAGTGAGGGCTGAGAACTACTTCTCTAGTTCAACTCCCTTATTTCATTAGTAAATACACTGGGACCCAGAAAAGGTGCACTAGGTACCACACAGCCGGCGGCTGGAGAGTTGGCACCGAAACCCAGATCTCTGCCCCGAGTTGGTGTTTTCATCTGCATCATGTGAACCCCTCGGCAAGCACCAGACCTTGGACTTGCCGCCGGCAACACTGAAATCTCTGTATGAGTGCTTTGTGTCTTTGCATATGATCGGCTTAAAAATGTTTGCTGTGTGCAATTCTGTGCCTGATAGATGAGTAGACTTAGTTCTGCCTAGCCAGACCTTGTAACAGGGTTATAAAGAACTAACGATGAGGGCCGGCCCTGTGGCTTAGTGGTTAAGTGCGAGCACTCCGCTACTGGCGGCCCAGGTTCGAATCCCAGGCACGCACCGACGCACCGCTTCTCCGGCCATGCTGAGGCCGCGTCCCACATACAGCAACTAGCAGGATGTGCAACTACGACATACAACTATCTACTGGGGCTTTGGGGGAAAAAAAAAGGCGGAGGATTGGCAATAGATGTTAGCTCAGAGCCGGTCTTCCTCAGCAAAAAGAGGAGGATTAGCACGGATGTTAGCTCAGGGCTGATCTTCCTCACCAAAAAAAAAAAAAAAAAAGAACTAACGATGATAATGATAAAAGATAGAGCAGAATAAATGGTACATCTGCACAGAGGAGCCTGCTGCGGGGATGGGGTGCAGAGGAGGAGTCGACAGGAGGTCGGGAGTCTGCAAGCCGGAGGTGGTGTTTGAACTGGGCCTGATGGGTGATGGAGAAAGGTCGGGAATCAGGGCTGCGCTGCCTTCCCTGGAGCAGTGTGTGGCGCCCTCGCTGTTACACAGGGCAAGGTTTCAGGGCAGAAATGCCTGGGTGTCAGAGAGCCAAGCTGGGACCGGCCTGTCTTGCGCACTCTGACCTTCTTCCTCTGCTCTGCCCTCAGGAATGAGACCGTGCTGCACCAGTTCTGCTGCCCAGCCGCTGACGCCGAGCAGAAGCCCGCCTGCTCCGACCTGGCCTCCCAAAGGTGGGAAGTAATTGTGGATGGTCCTCCCTTCCCCACCCACACCGTCCTGCCCCTCAGAGCAACGCGCACACCACTGCGCAATCTGGTCTCTTCCTCTCGAGTCTTGTGTCTGTGTTTGTTCTTTGTTTTTAACCTCCTTCCTCATACTTCCGTTTCTCTTTCCTTTCACTGGACCCCTGATGAGCCATTCCCAACTTTTGAGATCACTGTATCCTATTGTTCAAATTCCAAACCTACTCTCCTTCCCACTAAACACCCTGTATAAAATAGAATCTCTTTAAATGTGAAGGGAGATTAATATGATTATATATATATATATATATATATATACACACCTCACATGGTAGGCGAGCTGGCGCTCAGTAGGTGCTCAACTCATGGTAGTGTCCATCCTTCCTCTTATAACAAATATTTATGTTTTTCTTTCTAATCTTTCTCCATCCATAAAGGAGCCAAGATGACTGAGTTTAATTTTAACTTCATTGAGTTAGTTGACAACCTGGGAAGAAGGAGGGAATATGGAAAAGTCAGGGTTCAGTGTCCTGCCCCAGGCTTTCTCCTGCGTCTTGTTTTGGGTGGTGCATACTGCCTGTTTCTTCCTGTCTCCCTTCCTTGGAGTCTGTCTCCACCATGCTTTCGTCTTTCTCCTTCCACCTTCATCTGTCTCCCTGCCCTTCTGCTCCTCCACTCCATCTCCTCCTCACCACATCAATGTCCTCTCCCCCTTGTCTTGATCCGTGTGTGCTGTCGGCCTCTGTCCCTATTACACTTTGTTCTCTTTTCCTTCCACCAATTTTTCTGTCTCATTTCAACACTTTCCCTTTTCTTTACTTGTTCTTTACTTCACTGGGAGTCAAGATACTTGGATTCTGGCCTGAAATTTGCCCCATCCACAGTCTCCTGTTGTCAGAATTTGGGCAAGTTTCTTAACTCCCCTGGGCCTCAGTTTCCCCATCTGTATAATGAAGGGGTTGGTCCTAGCAGAAAGTAACATTTACATGTAATCTCGTTGAGCCTCTCAACTGCTCAGTGAGGTTAGACCAGGCAGCTTTTATTATCCCTGTCTTATGTGAGAGCAAAATAGGGTTCAGAACACTCCAGGGACTTGCCCACAATCACACAGCCCGTAAGTACCAATGCCCACACTTGCACTGAGGGCATTTGACTCCTGCTTGCCATTTCCAGGTTTAAGACTCACTGATTCCATGATCTTTCTCCCTTTATTCCTTGGAAAATAACTAGATGGTAGCTACTGAGCTTGGGGACAGAAAACCATCCCCTGAAAGGCATTACTACTCATTTTCCCTTAAAGGGAAGTCAGAGGGGATCGGGGAAGAGGCAGGACTCCAAGGAGGGAACTATAGGAGTTGCGCCAAAATAAGTGGCCTACCTTTGAGATCCTTAAGTCCAGGGCTGAGGGCAGCATGGCAGTTCCCTGAGGCGGACCAAGTTGGAGGATGGAAGGCAAAGGGAAGGACCCAGTGCTGTTGCCGGTGCCCTGGGTGGTCTCTGTGCCGAGTTCTGTGCCCAGTGACTCAAGGAAAAGTAAGGCCACTTGGATCCTTGAGAAACTCCTCATCTGGCGGGCACTGTGATGCCCCCACGTTGAAACTGGCTCATCTGGAAACTGGAAGGAAGAAGCGAAATGAGAGAATGAGACAGTGGGAGAGAAGAGGAGAGGACAGAGAGTAGGGTGGCATGAGGGTGATCCAGGAGGAAGGAGATGGAGGACCCTGTCTTGTTCCTGTGAGCTGTCGCTGCTCAGACACGTGGCCGAGTCTTCTTCCTAATGTCCTCCTTGCCAGGGGAGGAGAAGAGAGAAAAGCCTTGCACTGTGCCTCCCACGCCATCAATCCTACTCAATTCAGTCAACATTTAATTGCTACTGCCCAAGCACTGGGCACGGGTGAGGGGGGTAACATAGTGTCCTCAAGAAGCTCAGCCCGGGGAGGCGCCAGCAGCGGAAATCCTGCCTTGGGTGGTCCTTCCTCTCTCTCACACTCGCCCCTCCCATTCTTTCAGGTGCCAACACTCCTCTGACTGCCTGGCCGGCCCACCCTGCAGCCCTGGCTCCGAGTGGGAAGGGGTGGGAGGAGCTGGTGTGGGAGAGAGAGGCGGGTGTATGTGGGGGCAGAGGAGGGATGCTGCCCCCTCGTGGGGGCCGGGTTGCCAAGGAATAGGCTTCTTTTCCAAGATTCTGGGTGGGATGGTAGGAAATGGAGTATCTTAGTTTCCCCTTGGAGGGGCAGGCGCCAAGCTTGGCATGAGGGTGCTCTGGGGAGGGAGTGTGGGTGGGGAGAGATTTTCTCGAACGTTGGTTCATGGAGGACTGTGGGCACTGCCTGCTGCAGCCCTCCCCTCTGTGTGGGGTGGGCAGACTGCCCCCAAGTTGGTCCGGACCTTCTGCTCCTCTCTGCCTCTGTTCCCAGTTATTCCAAGTTGTCCTGTCTGTCTTGTCTGTAGCTTCCTAGAGTGTGTTTCTGTCTGTCTGTCTGTCTCTTCCATGTCAGTTTCTTAGCTTCTCTGGCAGGAGGCCCTCTGGATGTTTTCTGACAGTTCAACAGTGTATGTGTCAATCGGTCTGTGTGTTCTTAGCTTCTTGGGAGAATTCCATCCTACAATAAGTTTTCTCCCATCAGATCCCCAACATCCCTGCACCCAACCCTATCAGTGACCCCTCACCACCCCTTATCCCTTCCCTTTAACCAGGTGTCCCGCCTCCAGAGAGTGTAGTCCAAACCTCCCTGTGAGTTTCTCTACAAGAACGTGCCAAGAAAGAGACCGGGCTGAGGGCTAGCACAGTGTGGGTGGGTCACAAAGCCCTCTGGGCCACCCTAGGAGATCCTGGGCTGAGCTGTGGGGCTCTGAGACAAGCCAGGCTCCTCCGCACCGGTCAGTCTGGTTTCCCACCAGCTCAGCCAGGCTCCAGCTGCATCAGCCTTCTCTGAGGGTTTCTCGGGATAAGCCAGCTGCTCTGCAGGAGACGAGACCCCAGTAAGGAATCCAAACCAATCAAACAGATCTCAGGGTCATCAGGGCCTGTGGTGTGTGATCTCTGAGTTAGTCATGGAGGCTCCCTCACCTTCTTCCTCTGCACCCCAGCTGAAGCCAGTGGTGACCAAGGACAGCACATGTTTAAGGTCTCTGTCCCCTCCTTGTGCTCACCCCAAGCTGCAGGGCTGATCAAGAATCCCTTTCCTTCAGCAGCTGGGCTCATCCCCTGGGGCTGCAGTGGCCGCTGATCTGTATAAGCTGATCACCCACAGCCCCATCTGATCAGACATGTCAAGAGGAGCTGCTGCAGCTTGAGGCAAACCCTCAGCCCGGGGGAGAGGCACAGGGGTCCAGGAGGCAGCATGGTCCCAAAGAGGCAGTGAAGCCCCAGCCCCCCGGCAGATGGGTGCTAGGACAGCCTTCCGTAGCCACCTGTAGAGCAGCCTTGGGGGGATGGGGTCAGGAGAAACTCCGTCTTGGGACCCGGAGCCTGCCAGGGAGCAATGCTCCCAGCAGTGGGAAGACCCAGAGTTGAGCCAGCCTGGAACTGGGTGTCTGTAAGAGCGGAGGCCGAGCGGTGGGCATCAGGGACTGGGGTACAGTGGAGCGGTTATGACGCTAGCACAGGCCTCTGAGGCCAGACCACCTGCACACTGCGCCTAGGTTCACACGCCCCTAGACAAACAACCTACGCTTCCCAGGGTAATTAGGCCCTCAGGTGATGGCTGGCAGGGGTGCAGCCAGAGCAGCCGGCCAGGGGGCAGCAAGTGCGTGCCAGGCTCTTTCTTCCCACTTCCCCACCTCCTCCTGCTGCTAGCTAATGACAGGCCTTTATTCTGGGGAACTGAATAGGCTAGTAATTGCAGCCCTACTTTCGATCCCACAGGCTCCCCTCCCTCTCAGGCTCTCAGGACATTCGGAACAATGACACTGGAGCTGGCCAGCCGCCTCCCAGCATCCAGCAGAATGGCAGCCCATTTGTCTTGGTGGGTGGCAATGGGGTCTGAGATGAGGAAGACTGGCTTCTATTAGAGTAATAGAAGGGAAGGGGAGACACAGGGAAGAAACAGAACAAACCCCAGCCCTGGGGAGGAATAGGGCACGGGTAGGGGGACACTGGGCAGCAGACTGAACTGACTCACACCCGGTTATTTGGTCTTTCCTTCTCACCCACCCCACCCTTAATTCAGGATGGAAGAGACACCAATATTTATTGAACATATTTATTGAAGATGCCAGGCATGTTGCACTAAACACTCTCAATATTTTATCTCGCCTAATCCGGAGATAGCTGCTATTCCCATTTACAGACAAGGAATCTGGGATGGAGAGAAGTTCCGTATCTTGATAGAGGGACCACTGCTAATCAGTTCTGGGGCTGGAAGGTGAGCCCAGGTCTAACCCCACAATGCAACCTCTTCTCACAGAGCAGCTGTGAGGATTTTTTTTAGATGCACAGGAGAAATCCTTCTAGCCATTTCATTTGATCTTAAATAACATCTATTTTCTCTGATTATAAGTTATACTTACTAGTTGTTGGAAATGTGGAAAATACAGAAATATAAGGAAGAAAATAAAAACGGAATCCAGTCATATAGAATTAACCACTGTTAATATATTAGTGTGCAACCTTGCAGGGTTTTATTTTTCTAGGTACTGGGTTTTACATTTTCCCCCCCTTAATAAAAAAAAAAAAAAAGATTTTGTAGCCTGCATTTCCCACTTACTATTATAGTGTGTGCACGGGGGGAGCCTCCCGCCCTAACCAGTCCCTCCCGGTGCCCTCCCCCCGCTGCTGGCGCACGTGGCTCCCGTCTGTCACCCGCTAACCGGCCCACAGAGTGTGTGTCGCGGTGGCTGTGGGCGCCGCTGGCGGCGGCGCTCCTGACACCCTGGAGGAAGGGACACCCTTCCCAGAATGGCTGTCAGGGAGAGCCCTTCGTTAGCATCACCAGCGCAGCTGGCCGAGGCGTCATCAATGGCACAGCAGTGTTTACTCAGCGATT